AGATACACACACAAGGTGCATCTCCTGTGGTGCTCTGAGTCCAGGCAGCTCTGGAGGATGTTTTATAGTCTGATTACAGCTCCAGTCACTCTCTGTGATTACCATGAGTGAGTGTTTAAAAGTGATCATTGCATATGCTTTAGGACTATACAAGAGACTCCCACACATCGTACAGTGTCTGTTTCTGATAGGGTTATCCCTGAAAATGTCTTCCTGAAATGTCACGGTCAGAGATCAGGTCCGACGCCTTGGTTGCTGCGGTACCACCACCAGAAGCCGGTCCCACACCGTGATTACTAACAGGAGGAATGGAGTAACCGTTCTCGGTCAGACTGAGTCGCCCACTCGACTTACCGGTCTAAACGACACAATGCTGTCGCGATTAAAACCTAACGAGCGCAGTAGCGCCGTTTCTTACTCCGTGCTCTGCGGTTCACAGCTCAGTCTGCCTGTGCGCGAATCCGGCGGCCTGCCTGTCCGTGTACCGTCCATTCCTGTCAGCACCTAACGCACACACTCAGAAGAAGGAACTCAAGTTCACTGTTTTGAAGTTGCTCTAATCCTGTCGGTCCGTGACGTTCACAACCCTGCTATTCGAAACGGGGACGAGAGCCTCACAAGCACTTTCCTTGACATGCTATCTTAGAAAGATAATCCCCTCCACTCTGGCTGCATCTACTTTTAAAGTGAGATTTTAAACCGAAACGAAACAGACGAGAAGGTTACCTTTTCCCGTCATCAACGGGCAATCCCTGCCCATCCTGTAATAAATCGGACGCCACAACACTTTCCGCCATTTTCCCCCCCGAGTTTGTTTTTTAAATTCTTCCCGCCCGGCGCGGCAGGGCGAGGAATTCGGCGCATGCGTAAAATCACAAGCGCGCAACGAGTCACTGGGAAGTGTAGTTTTGTCATTCCAGGTGCAGAACGAAGCGTACGCTGTGCGCAGGCGCGTCCGACTAAAGCGTATGTGGCGGTGGTTCGGGGGGAGGAATCATGGGATTTGAAGTTTTTGGAGTTAACTTCCTGCAGCAGTATCGAGCGAAGACTCAAATTCGTCCAAGCACTAGAAGCCGGGCAGAGTGCGTTCTCACGAAAGATCGTATCTGTGAATTAATTCCGTGGGTTCCGCGTGTCAGAGTGAGTCTTTCTCTTCTCGTTGGTGGTGGTTAATGAAATAAATAAAGTCTAGATCTTGGTTGAAGAAGCGAGTGATCTTAGTTCCTGTTGCTGAACAGGTAACAGCCGAAAACTTCGTGTGGAAAAACTGGCTCAGGACTGGGAAGGCTGGCGTTTCCTTGATAACTGTTTAATACGAGTTTCTAACTAAAGAGACTAGTTCGTGACACCAGGGGGTTTGAAGAGTTTAGGGACTCGCTTTGCTGGAGCGTTATGAACTCTTTTGTTCTGGGTGAGGTGTGTATCGTGACGCACGCAGGTGCCGCACCGTGCAGTAAAAATACTGCCGTTTGTTGTAATTGTCCGACATGGAGCTCGCCTGGGCACGGTGGCCTGAAATACGGAGACGCAGTTTAATTCAGCACTGGAACCTTTCCTAGAAGTAATTGAACTTGCTCAACTGCATGTAACCTGGTGCTTTTGAAAGACGTTTCTCTGCCGGTTTGAGCGTGCTGGACCGGTCCGAGCGTGCTGGACCGGTCCATACCGTTTCAGTGCGTCACCGCTGGAGTCTCTCCTGCTCCTGCCCCAGGCGGCCAGGCGTGAGAGCACACACTGGAACCAGCTAACCAGAAAGACTCCCACGACCCATTTCGACGTCTGCTGCAGAATTCTACTATTTACCATAATCCTTACACAGGAAGTCCTCCTCCGTCCATAGTCTTGCCGGTTCCTCCAATCAATTCGGGGTCACGGGGGAGCCAGAGCCTACCCAGCAAGCAGCGGGCACAAGGTGGGGTACACGCTGGACGGGACGCCGGTCCATCGCAGGACGCACACAGACACACACTCGCACCAGGGCCAATGCTCCCAGAAGCCACTAGTTAGCCCACTAGTGTGTCTCAGGACCGTGGGAGGAGTCCGGAGCATCTGGAAAACCCATGTGAACCGGGGACGAGCGCACACGCTCCGCACTATTGGAGCGCAGAAAGCAGGAATTGCAGCCGGAGCTCCCGCTGCATGCTGGGATGGTAGGCTCCGGCTCCCCCATGACCCCGGCCCTGATAAAGCAGTGAGAGGAGGGTGGATGAGTTGATGAGAATACCGCTGACCGCCCCGCCCTCCTGCTGTGCCCTTTCCCGCAGATGTCGTTCCCGGTGCAAGCCCCGCCCACGCCCCCTGTCATGGCAGTGGCCTGGACCTCCAGCGCGAACACGTGTCCCCCGGAGTTCAGACTGGTAAGACTGGGGCTCAGCCTGCTGGAATCCCGGGCTGCACGGCTCTTCACCGGCCCCCGCAGAGGCCCCTAGGAGGGTGTGGCCCGGTCCAAAGGGCCGTGGTGCTGGAGGAGGGACTGGCGCACAGCTCGTCTGTCTGCTGGGCTGCACGTTGGCGCCCCCTGGTGTGTACCGCCAGGCAGGCCTGCTGGGCTGCACGTTGGCGCCCCCTGGTGCGTACCGCCAGGCAGGCCTGCTGGGCTGCACGTTGGCGCCCCCTGGTGTGTACTTCCCAATGGGCTCAGACTCACCAGGTTTAATTCCTCTACACTGCAGTTGAGGGGGGTAACCAGAGCCACGGTGGGAACCCTACCCTGTACTTCCATATGTCTATGAGCTAGTCCATACTGCTGATCTGTAACTCCTGTATTCTGATCCAGTACATCTATGAACTGTATCC